GAAATTTATTTAAAATTATATTTTATTTAGTTCATTTCAAGTATTGAGAATAAACTAAAGAAAACTCGGTTTGCTTTTATGGTTTTTAAGATACAGGTTTGTAACTGTACTAACAAAAATCAAGTAGAAAAAGTCTGCGTTCACTGCTTTAGAGGTAACTATAAAAATTATTTAAAAAGGATATGAGTACTTAATAGCTGGTTGGGACCACCCCGTCTTTTGAGAACCTCCTAAAGTCGTTTCGGCATTCAATTATTAAGTCTAGTGGTTTATTCAGTGCTTATCTTTTGACATTATCTACTTGACATCTCTTCAGCATATCCTTTCTAGATATATTGTGTTGACGAATCCTAGGCTCCAACAAATCCCATAGGTGTTCTGTAGGATTCAGATCAGGCGACTGCGGGAGCATGTGCAATTGATTTGGGACATTATACAAGAGCAAAAGCTTCGCAATCTCAGTGGTATGCTTAGGATCGTTGTCGTGTTGGCAACGAAACAACGATCCTATTCCGAGTTTGGTGGCAATTTCCTTTAAATTGTTTTTAGCGCATCAAGGTAATCATATTTGTTCTTAATTGATTCGATATACTCCAACTTACCAACACTCTTACTCGCCATGCACCCCCACACTATAACTCCATCCCACCATACCTTACCGTTGGTACTAAATGCTCTTTTTGAAGCACTTGTACAAGGTTTTCTGCATACTAATTTACAATATTTTATGCCAAATACACAAAATTTGCTTTCTCGGAGAATATCACAGTTCTCCAGAACTCTAGAGGCTTATGTATACGCTCATTTGCAAAAGCCTATCCGTTGGTCTTTGAAATATAAGACTTTTTGTAAGCCACTCGACAACGATATCTGGCCTTTTCAAGATTTTTCTTACAATATCCGCACAAATGTTTTCCTTAAACTTCTCGTGAATGTCTGTTGCTATTTGAGTTGCACAGTCAAACGCGTATTTTTTTTCTCTCTACGAGTATCATACTTCTTTTTTCTCTGAAGGTGAGTTTAGAAGGACAACCTGAACAAAGTTTGGATGTGTAAACTTCTGTAGATTTAAACTTGTAAAAAACTCGCTGGATAGATGAATACTGCCATCCCGACGACCTTTTCCATCTTTCCACATTTTCCCAATGATTTTAAGCTCACTGATACTAATTTCCTTCCTTTTATTTCCCATGTTCTTGAATTGCTTCATTTTTCACACAAACATAAAAATTATTGCGTTACAACTTTCTTAAGCTATTTTACTTGGTAACTGAATGCCAAAACTGTGTTAACCTATAACGCCCTTGTTGATAAAAATTCCAGGAATCAAGAATATTCAAATAGTGAACGCAGACTTTTTCTACCTACTATTCGTGTGCTTTGCTACAAAACTTCCTTTATTTTACGTAATTTTAATCCAAAATTAACGAATTCTTGAATGCTTAGTATTTAAATAGTTGTAAACAAATTGTTAGAAAAAATTATATTTCTATTAAATTTTAGCTTTGCTGTATGATTTGTTATGGGAGAACGCAGACTTTTTCTAGCTAGTGTACATATGACAATTACTTCATGCGGGCCGCAACATGAGTATTAATATTGGGGGCACAATAAGATAAAGAACATTTAAAATGGTGAAAATTGATCAAAATATAAAAACATAAGATTGTATTTTATTTTAAAACTATTTTCAACTCTATCAAATTTAGCTCACAAAAAATAGATTTATGCATTTTGGGGTAATTTCGATTTCCTTTCATCAACGATCCCAAGCCACTTGTTTGCATTCTACTGTCATAAAAACATAGCTGCCATGTATTTTGATAATTTTATAATTTTCTTTTTTCTTTTGACAAAGCCTCACTTATTTTTCAGATATTAATTTATCAATTTCTGGATGGTAGTGAACAGTTTTTACTGAATTCCCGACTGAAATCAGTACTATTTGTTCAGAATTGCTTGCACATTTTTGCTTCAAATTTATTCAAATACTTTTATATTTTACTAAAGAAAATATCTGAACAAATAATTAAATTTATCAGAGTACATCAGAAGCATTCAAGAAACACTCCAACAATTTCTGCATCAATTCATATGTTTATCCTTAACAATTTCATAATTTTATCAATATAATTTTATCAATATATATATATATATATATATATATATATATATATATGTAATGTAACAAATTTTATATGAAATGCTTTTGTTACCTCTGCAATTTATAACATTACCACCGACAAAATATTTTGTCGCTGCTGCAAAAAAAGTTTTTTTAAGAAAGCCGATTTATATTTCGTTTTAAAAGAGATCCTTAAGAAAAAGAGTCATTCAAAGATTTGTGCTTAGTGATACAGTGACGAGCAAAATTATATTTTTTAAGCATAAAATTTTCACGACAAATCAAACAAGTTGTTGATCCATGGCTGTTTTTCTCTACGAAATAAGCAAGATCCCAATCGTCTCGAAACAACATATATTCTTTAGATATTTTTCGTTTGGAAGACATGAAGTTTAATTAAAAATTAGTTTCACCCATAAAATGGTCGCTACAACACTGTTATTAGTTATCACTCACTTTTAAAATTACAAAAAGAAAAAAGTTATCTCACAATTCGTACCAGTACAACATCAATAGCAAAACTAACACATTTGATTGCTTAATTTATTGAACTTCTCGCTAAATTTTTAATGCATTGTTCTTATATAATTAAATTTGTTAGTGAAACGGGCCGTGGCAGGACCGCTCAGAAAGGTCCGGTGGGCGTCAGGTTGAGTATCGCTGGCTTAACCCGTCAAGGGACAGCTTTAGCGTAGTATGTGGAAATTTGGAGAAGGGTGTTACAGCTCAAATGCCGTCCTCGTCATTTGACCATGACTCTTTATTACGAGGTCTACTGGCAATAGCTTTAAATTGTTTCAGATTGCGATTATAATAAACAATAAACGTACTTGAAAACACAATTATTTCAGAAGTTTAAGCTTTGATGTACAAATTTCTCTTGTTTAAATGATATTTAACAATAATTTAAGGGGGGGGGGATAAAACTAATTATAATTTAAAGGAGTAAAAATTGTTTTAAAATAAAGTGTCGCGCTTATTAGTTTAAAAAAGTTAGATAAATTATATATATATTGAATAAATATTTTTACTTATGTGCATAGTAATCTAATATCATTGTGCTTCTTTATTAATCTCTTATTGAAGCGCATTAAGATGTTCTCTGTTTCCATTCAAATTAGGTATAAGTGTACTTCAGCAATGTAGGAATAATGCTTTGAATTATTCTTTAAAATTATTCTAGCACAGACATTTTGATAAAAAAGCAACCACATTCATTGAATAGAAACAGTGGTTCCTAAACATTTTTAAGAATTTATAACTATTTTAAAAATTTAGCTTTCCTCAATCTTTGTTATATTTTTAAGTAATCTGGAACAGATAGCTCTTTGCAATGAATTAAATATTAAAAAAAATCATTAATTAACGTTTAGAAACTAAATCAATCGTACGGACATTAAAAATAAGGCATCAATTTTTTGTTTTTGAAAATTAAATTTTATATTAATACATTTTTCGAAGTAGTTTACGAGAGATAAAAACTAATCAAGATATCATCAAAATATTTTAGAATTAAAATTTTGTGGTCTTTTTCGTAATTTTATTCATTTTAGATGGAGCATTTTTAGTTAAAATCCTGCAATATCATCATAATAAAAAAATAAAGAAAAAATTCAAATCGGTAAAAGAAAATCTAAGAAAGAACGAAACACACCCAATCACAAAAAGAAAACAATTAAAAATTTTGCAAAAGGAATCAAAAGATGATATAATGTTTACCAAAACAAAAATTTTAAATTATGAAACTATAAATTAAAAAATATGAAATAATTACTTAATTTTTTTATTAAATTAATTAATGAAAAATTATATATATTATAAGAATTATTCTTTTTCTGGAAACTGAATTGTTATCCTTCAGTGCAATTACCTTTTCTAAATTCTTAATATTTAGAGCAAAAAAAAAAATTCATGTTTGAACAAAGTTTTAAGAAATTTAACTTATTCTATTATCTAACTGAAACTTAAAACGAATAACTTTGGTTCTTTAGACAGTATTTGCGTGTTTAACCTAGTTCACTAAGAGTTTCATAGCCAAAGAACTAGGAGGATTATAAAATGACATGTGTCTTTTGTTAAGTGTTGACTATAATGAACCGTTGCGACATCGTTTAGAATGTAATCATTACGAATAGTTTTTGCTAACCAAAAAGGCCGGAGAATCACTTCAAAGAATTTGAAACTAACAATCGTTTAATCCTCCTATTGGTCACACCTCACTGGCATATTCGAAGAAACCCTGAATGGACACACTTGTTCCCTGGTTAAGCACAGTAATAGTAAGAAAAGATCGAAAAGAAATGACCCGTATTTGGTGAAAAGAGTTTGTAGAAGTAGTCATCAATCATATTTTGTGTTAGTTAATGCATTTATTTGAAACTTATCTTTTTATTTAATAATATACGTTGGTCGTTATTTTCTATAGATTCCTTTCAAGCTGCAGTTTTGTTAGGATAAGATTAAGCAAAGTTCTTAACTATCTTATTTTTTGCATTTATCAAAGAATAAATGACGCGATAAGGTTGGAAAGTCGGATTTACACATCCTATTGGAGAATTATTGGAAATTATTAGATGTATAATAAAAAAGTAAGAAAACTTAACTCAGTGACGCAACAGCCCATGAGGGCCAAGGTTTATTGTACCCATGTCAGTATACATGACCTTGGGGACTGAGGTGCATGATCAGATGTTCCGATCAGGTGGTCAGTCTGACGTGAAACCCCCAGTGTTAAGTTCCCAAGCAAACTTGGTACTCATTTATCGACCCACTGAAGGGATTAGTCGACCTTGCCCCACCCGGGGTAGGAACCTCGGACCTATGGCGTGGAAGCGCGATGCACTACCCCTCAGCCACTGGGTTTCAAGAGAATGTCAACGGCACACGGTGATCCCAGGTAGTCACCCTCCCATGTACTGACTGTGTCCGATGATGTTTAACTTCGGTGATCGGACGAGAACCTGTGTTTTCAGCATGGTATGACAGTTGACAAAAAAGTTATAATATATGAGAAAGAAAACCAGACTTCCACACAGAAAATCCCCACTTAGTCATCTCGCTCTTTTACTTCGAACTAATTACCATAGAAACACCTTCGGGGTAAAGGACATGAATTTATGTTTCAAATGTTGATCAACAGCAGATTTAATAACAAATTTTTCAACTTTTTCTTTTGTGTTCGTTTTTACGCTCACTTTTCTCTCTCAAGAGTAAAAGCAACTTCAAAAAATTAAATACGTATAATTTCATAATCAAAGATGTATCTCATTTTCATAACATTAATTTTGCATTTGTTTTCAGATATTTTTTTTGACTATCAACAGCAGGGACGTTTTAAGAAATGAACTAAACGTGACCGGGCGCAGGACCTTGGTAGGGGGGGGGGGCTCGTCTCGATAAGATCCTGATCAGAATAATTTTAATCGTCAAATGTTACTTCGGAAAAACTGGGAATTTTGAACTGTATGTCAAGTGGCTAGAATGTATTATTATGCTTTGTCCAACGTCCGTGTCTAGGCTTAGGTCTACAACCATACACCTTCATTGCTCCTAAATAGAAAAGCAGCAGTCGATCGAGTTGGTTTATCCCTAGATCTGTGAGATTATGAGTCACGCACGATAAATTGTTAAGGGTTGCAGTTTGTGCTAGTGTTTGGCAATGTATACTATATATTGTGTTTAAAAGGGTCACAGGTGAGGCCGACTTTTGCATAGGGTCCAGGGCCTCAAGAAGTCTTAAGAAGTCTAAACAGAATATGACCTGACTGATTCATGATTTCTTTTTAACGTCTCACTTTGAAGGAACATGATAGCTATTGGCGATGGACCTCGTTATTTTGATTCACAGTCCTAGTGACGAGGATAATACCTGAGCTGTTATTCCCCAATTAGGAAGTTCCTCACTACCACGTCAACATGAGGACTTTGAGCTTCAATCCTACACCAACCCCTCTACAAGGCGTCCTAAGGTGGACAAGGACTCGAATACATCACTCGATAGAAAGAATGCCCCCCCCCTTCCCCCTACGAGTTTGAGACCGTAACCACTCCGCTACTGCGACCTTTCAGTAGAATACGCCTAATCTATATATATAAAGGAGAAAAGCGACTCACTCACTGACTGACTGACTGACTGACTGACTGACTGACTGACTGACTGACTAATCACGATATCTCCGGAACTATTCAACCTACAGATTTGAAATTTGGTAGACATGTTCCTTTCATAGAGTAGACGTCAGCTAAGAAAGGATTTTCCGAAATTCGAAACGCAAGGGGCGTTAAAGGATTAAGGGGCGTTATAAATAATTGCTTCCATGTTTAAACTACTTGATGTACAATCTTGAAATTGGGTGAGCGGATTCCTTTCAGAGAGTAGAGATCTTCTACAAAATGAGTTTGCTGAAAATCGACCCCCAAGTGGCGTTGCAGGGGCTTAGGGGGCGTTATAGATAATTATTTCCATTTTTAAACTATTTGACGCACTGTCTTTAAATTTGATATATAGATTCCTTTCGTAGAATAATGATCAGTTACAAAACGGGTTTTGTGAAAACAGACTTCTAAGTGGCGTTGCGGGGGATTAAGGGTCGTAATAGATAAATATATCCGTTTTTAAACTACTTCACCTACCTGCTTGAAAATTGGTAGGTAAGTTTCTTTCCTGGAGTAAATATCCGCTGCAAAATGGGTTTTGGGAAAATTGACCCCTAAGGGGTGTTGCGGGGGCGGGGGTTTAAGGGGCGTTATAAATTCCTATTTTTAAGTTATTAGACGTACAGTCTTGAAACTTAGTAAGCGGATTCCTCTCATAGGGTAGAGATACGCTAAAAATGGGTTTCATGAAAATTGCCCCCAAGTGGCGTTGGGGGGACTTAAGGGGCGTTATAGATAATTATTTCCATTTTTAAACTATTAGACGCACAGTCTTTAAATTTGATATATAGATTCCTTTCGTAGAATAATGATCAGTTACAAAACGGGTTTTGTGAAAACAGACTTCTAAGTGGCGTTGCGGGGGATTAAGGGTCGTAATAGATAAATATATCCGTTTTTAAACTACTTCACCTACCTGCTTGAAAATTGGTAGGTAAGTTTCTTTCCTGGAGTAAATATCCGCTGCAAAATGGGTTTTGGGAAAATTGACCCCTAAGGGGTGTTGCGGGGGCGGGGGTTTAAGGGGCGTTATAAATTCCTATTTTAAGTTATTAGACGTACAGTCTTGAAACTTAGTAAGCGGATTCCTCTCATAGGGTAGAGATACGCTAAAAATGGGTTTCATGAAAATTGCCCCCAAGTGGCGTTGGGGGACTTAAGGGGCGTTATAGATAATTATTTCCATTTTTAAACTATTAGACGCACAGTCTTTAAATTTGATATATATAGATTCCTTTCGTAGAATAATGATCAGTTACAAATCGGGTTTTGTGAAAACAGACTTCTAAGTGGCGTTGCGGGGGATTAAGGGTCGTAATAGATAAATATATCCGTTTTTAAACTACTTCACCTACCTGCTTGAAAATTGGTAGGTAAGTTTCTTTCCTGGAGTAAATATCCGCTACAAAATGGGTTTTGGGAAAATTGACCTCCAAGGGGTGTTGCGGGGCGGGGGTTTAAGGGGCGTTATAAATTCCTATTTTAAGTTATTAGACGTACAGTCTTGAAACTTAGTAAGCAGATTCCTCTCATAGGGTAGAGAAAATGCTAAAAATGGGTTTCGTGAAAATTGCCCCCAAGTGGCGTTGAGGGGACTTAAGGGCCGTTATAGATAATTATTTCCATTTTTAAACTATTAGACGCACAGTCTTTATATTTGATAAAGAGATTTCTTTCATAGAGTAGAGATCAGCTATAAGAAGGTTTTGTGAAAACAGACCTCTAAGTGGCGTTGCAGGGAAATAAGTGGCGTAAGAGATAAATATTTTCGTTTTTAAACTATTTGACCTACCTGCTAGAAAATTGGTAGGAATGTTTCTTTCATGGAGTAAATATCCTCTACAAAACGGGTTTGGAGAAAATTGACCCTCAAGGGGTGTTGCGGGGGTTAAGGGCAGATATAAATAATTATTTCTTTTTTTAATCTATTAGACTCACAGTCTTGAAATTTGGTTAGCAGACTCCTCTCATAGGATAGAAATACACTGAAAAATGTTTTTTGTGAAAATCGACCCCTAGGTGGCGTTGCGGGGGTTCAAGGGGCGTTATTGATAATTTCTTTGCATTTTTAATTAATTGGACGCACAGTCTTCAAATTTTGCTAAGCAGATTCCTTTCATAGAGTGCAATTCCCCTACAAAATGGGTTTTGTGAAAACAGATCCAGAAGTGGCGTTGCGGGGCTCAAGTGGCGTTATAGACAATTATCCCCATTTTTAAACTGTTAGACGTACAGTCTTGAAATTTGATAAGCAGATTCCTTTCGTAAAGTAGAGAACCGCTACAAAATGGGTTTCACGAATATCAACTACCAAGTTTAATTTCTCGGGGGACTAAGGGGCGTAATAGATAACTATTTCCGTTTTTAATCTATTTGATCTACCTGCTTGAAAATTGGTAGGCATGTTCCTTTCATGAAATAGAGTTCCTCTAACAAAGAGTAAAATGAAAATTGACCCCCAAAGATGTTTGCGAGGGGTCAAGAGGAGTTACAGAAAAAAATTCCTGTTTTAATTGTTAGACCCATATACTTGAAATTTTTTAAGCATGTTTTTTTTTGTTGAATAGGGATCCACTAAGAATAAATTTTAAGCAAATCAAGTTCTGGGGGTTGCAGGGGTTACTGGGACGTATTGACAAAAAAATTACTTTTTTCGAGCTACAAGGACTATAATAATGAAATTTGGTTTGCATTTTTCTTTTGTTGAATTGAAATCCGCTAAGAGCGGTAATTTTGGAAAACGGCTCTCAACGGGATTACGGGGATATTTATAGTAAAACTTTTGCTTTTTTCTGTTAGATTTATAGACTTGAAATTTGGCTTGCATGTTCAATTTACGGAGTAGAGATCCACCGAAAATTAGTTTTGCGGGAATCCACTTGGTTTTTGAGTTACGAAAGAGCAAACATCATTCTATGCTTCAATTTTAGAGATTTTTAGAAAATACAAATTAGATGAGTTCTGCCCTTTTTTTTATCAACAGGTGGCAGTTACAGGAATAAGTATATTTTTCAATTCAATCAAATTCTTAATGCTAGGACTTAGATATCAATACTTTATACATATATATAAGCAGTAAAAATTTATAAAACATCATGAAATACCCAGCGAA